ATTTTAATTTTTTTAATACAAATTTATTAAAATATTATAATTTTAATATACTTTTTCTTTTAATTTTTAAGAGATAAAGATAAATAATTACTATTATATATATATATTTAAAGGCTAAACATCTTTTTATTATATTTAGAGAGTACAAGGCGCACTCTGTCCCATACATACCAATTGGAGCAATTACAATGATGCGCAATCATGATGCTCTAATTTCTTCTAGCAATTCCCAATCCTCTATTTTCTTTTACCAACTGCCAGCATTATATATATAATTATTATTCATCAATTTTGCAATTTGAAGTATTAATAATTAACTTTTCTTTGAAACACCAATTCGCTAAGAAAAATAGATAGAATATTCTACTACATCATATTAATTTTACTTATCACACTTTTACTTAACACAATTACAATATATAAATATGTATATAGAAAGATATCAATAAAAATATATGAAAAAAATGTATATTAGTGTCGACTCTTAAAAAATATTAGAATTTCAAAATATCATTTCACTTAATTAAAATTCAATTCAAAATTAAAAAATCAACCTTATTAAATGTTGATAAATGGGTTATTGTAATATGTTTCCAAATCAATGTATCAACATTTAATAAGGTGAATTTTTGAATTTTAAATTAGATTTTACATTTACAAATACAAGAATTAATATTCAATAAAATGAATTTCTGAATTTTAAATTAGAGAAAAAATGCAAATAAGGATGCCAACATTTTACTTTTTTCTATTTAAAAATATTAATTTTGTTAATTTCTAAATAATGATATTAATTTTGAACTTTTTTTTTTTTTACTTAAAGATGCTAACTTTCAATATTCTAGATAAAAAATCAATTTGCTACGTTAACATTGCCATCCAATTAATTCTTAAATAAAAAGTTAAAAGTTATTATCTTTAAATAAAAAATTAAAAATTAACATTTTTATTTAGAAACTAATAAATTAATATCTTTAAAAAAGTGTGAAATTAGCATTCTTATTTGCACCCTTTCTCATGATTCTATTTCCATCCATCCTTTTTAACAAATCATTCAAGAATCAAGATGTGATTCTAATCATAACTCTAATTAACAACCTAATTATTGAGTCTAGTTAAAAGTTACTCAAGGTTAGGACTTAGGAGTTCAAATCCTGCAAACATTAAGCAACAAAATAACCATGGGTGTTTCGAGTATAAGTTAAAGGTGTAATTAATATATTTTTTTTATCATTAATTGATATTGATAATAACAAAAACTGACATTAATTTCACTAATGCCACATGGATTATTTTAATTGAATAGTTGATTAAATAAAAGTTAATTTTTATTTTTTCAATAACAACTAATATCAAAAAGGTGCTTTTAAGGACAAAAATTAAAAAAACTCAAAACTATTAGAATGATCATTTTTTTTATCTTTTTTTTTATTTTATAAAAGGTATAATTGGTTTAATAACTGAAAAGTAATTACACTGCAGAGTATACCATACTATATAGGCTATGCAAGAAAGATAAATAAGCTAGGTAAGACCTATAACACTAATATGAGAGTTTGGTGCTCCATAAAAATAGATCAATTAAGAATTGAGAACCTCTAAGTACTTTTTTTTTTTTTTGTACTAACCTCTTAGTATCCGGTAATCACATTGAGTCTTGACTAATCCGGAATCGAATTGCGTCGGACTCCATTTGGGAGGAAGCTTTCCCAACGCCTGTTTCTTCATTCACAAGACTCGAACTCAATATCTTATTTTAAGGAGAACCGAGCTCCTTTCACTCAGGCCAATAGGTCGTTGGTGGGAACCTCTAAATATTAGTATATGTTATTGGAGCATCAATAGAGCTATGTGACAACATAGAAATACTACACTAGAGCTTATGGTCGCTGTTGGTAATCACATCTATTTTGCCATCCAAACCTAGCACGGGAGATCAGGGAACTTGGCAATGCGGTGTCTCTGACACCACAATGCTTTGTCCAAGTAGAAAATACCTAGTTTGTTTCACGTTCAGGTGGCTCACAAAAGCAAAACCAATGCAAAAACATACACCTCCTTAGAGGACCAACAACACTAGAACCAGAGTCACCCACAACATCCCTGTCTTTCTGTATTCGATTACCATATCAAATATTGGAGTGCACTAGGTTCTTTGATGTAGATCGAAGGATGCCACTGCCTTGCCGGAAATTGGAGTGCACTAGGTTTTTCGAATGTAACCCCCACCAGGATCCCATCTAAAATTGAAGATATGTCGAAACGAGATTCCAATCCAGTGAATAAGAGAAACCCAAATCTACCAGCGAGATCATGTCCCTCGATATTTCATCACAACCTTCAAAAATCAACAATAGATGTAGATCGAAAGATGTTGCTGCCTTGTCGTCCCTTGGGCTGAAGTTTCGAAAGCAAGATAGTCAACTAAGAGGAAGGAAGAAATTAAGAGGAGGAAGGGAAGGGAAGAAGACAGTAGAGAAAGAAGAAACTCCTTGTCGAAGAGAAACCCTTGAGAGAAATTCGTAGCTGCCACCCTCAATTGTAGGTAGAGCACGAGAGAAAACCTAATTTTAATTATCTTTTTTTTTTTGGTCTATTTTACTTATCACAATTTTTTTAAAAAGAAGACCAATTTACTTGTCAATTTTCAATTCTCAATAAAGCATTAAAGTCTTCTTTCTCAATTTTGCCTGTAAGAGCGGGCACAGTTTGGTTTTGGTTGTAACCAAAATCAACTAAAACTTAACTATCGATTAACGAAAGTTTTAGGTTTAAATTTTAATAATCATTAATCAAATAAAAATACAGGTTTTATTGGTTTTTATTACACTTTTAAGAATAACCATTTGGATCGATTTTAGTTTTAACCAAAAAATTATTTTCATATTTTTTTAGTGATTTTTTTAATTCCTTAAATATTATTTTTTTAATTTAATCATTAAAAAATTAAAAATTATCCAAATAAATAAATAATTTGGTGAAAAGTGACTAGAAAACCTTAACAAAATTTAAAAACCATAAAAAAATTTATATAAAAGGTTTTTGGTTTGGATTTTTTGGTTATACTCACCCCAGTCATCAGTTTTTCAATTTTTAGACTTAGTAATTAAAATTCAAACTGTTTAAAATCAATTCAGTTCAATTTTTTTATCAAACAAATCCAAAATTCAATCAAATCCTACCCATCGGTTATGGTTTTGATGGTTTTCAATTTTTTTTTATTACATATTTTTTGGCCCACCCTTATTTGCCCCTATTAATAATTATTCCATTTCCAAAAAGAATGCATCCCAACTTCCCAACTACCCTCATTAATTAATTTAAATATTAAATTTTATTAATAATAAATATTTTTGAGAATAGTGTATATCAATCCATATTCATAAGAAAAAAATAAAATCACAATCTTAAATGGTGTCATTTCATTTAATTAAACTCAATTCAAGAGAAAAGGTGTAAATAAAGGCGTCAACTTTGCATTTTTTTTATTTAAGGATGTTATTTTTTTTAGTTTTTAAATAATAATCCTTAAATAAAAAAAAGTTAAAAGTTACCATCCTTATTTATATCTTTTCTTATAGAATCACAACCAAAATGAGAAATACAATATTTCAGCGTTAGTTGTTTACACATTTTATTAGTTGGACTTGGATAGAGAGATTTTCACTGGAATCTAAGTTTGCCATTTGGGTAATGTATAAACTTTTTTTTTTTTTTTATCTTAATTGCACAATGAGAGGCAATTATCTCTCATCTATTATCTCACTCTATTTGCATACCATGCAACTCGAACTCATGACCTCTTACTTCCAATTGAAGGAGATGATCATTTAACTACTTAGGTCATTGATGGTAATGCAAACAAAATTATATCTAGAAGACTTGAATTATGAAGAAATGGTAATCAATAAGTTTCTCGCTCGGAAACAACTTTGGATTTGTCAGATTTGCAGGGGTCAAAGACAAAGGAAGGCTAGAAAAATCACTCAAAATGATCTGCTTTGGTACAGAAAAGCTCAGAGTTACTAAAGCCATAGAAAGAAAACCTCCCTAGTCTCACCTCGTCATCGCCCCCCTCCCCCACCCCCTGAAACTTTCAAGTCAAAACCTTTGCCGAAGCCCTCCTCCATGGCCCAAGCGCCTCAAATACACTTAACACAAAGCCCCAGTCACAACAATCAGTTTGCATGGATGAATCTACAGCAACGAAGTCCATCCTGGAAATGGGAGAAGAAATGGAGGATTCTAGCTGGCTCTGCAATTGCGCGACTGGCGAGGTTCATACACCCAACCTTATCCCTGGCTTACAACAAAAATTTTGGGAAAATGGCTTCTCAGACATCACGACAGTGCCCATGGGTGGCAACAAAATCCTCTTGAAATGTGACGATGAGGATTCAATAAACCACTTTATCTTAAAAGAAGAAAACTAGTGGGGTAAATGGTTTAAAAGGATTAAGCTGTGGAGCCCATCAGATGTAGCAGAAGAAAGACTTGCTTGGATTCGAGTCACGAGCCTCCCTTTGCATGTTTGGAACCAAAGAAGCTTTGAAAAAATTGGAAATTTCTTGGGTAGCTTCGTCATGGTGGATCAATTTACTATTAATAAAAAATGCTTGGATGCTGCTAGAGTCCTAATTTCAATAGTTGAAATAGGCCAGATTGACAAGGAGATCTCTATCAAAGTCCGAGACCATATGTACTCCTTAAAAATCATGGAAGATCGTTGGCGAACTGACCCATGGTGGTTAAAGGCTTCAAGTGTATATGAAAGTGATGAATCTGGGTCTGATGAGCAATCAGAGTATGAGTCCGACCACTTATCCGGTGGCTAGAGTCTCCCCTCCGATGAAGAAATTGAACAACCAAAACAAATTGAAAAAGAGCCGTTACTGGAATTAATGGCACTGCCAACTGAATCTGCTAATTCCAAGAGTAACACTGCACCAAGCAATGGTGTGATTGCATCGAGAAAGCTTGCTGTGTCAGAGAACAGAGGCAGATCTAACGATGAATACCAGCAAATCTCTACACCCTTTCTTAGAACAAATCCATCTAACAAACATGTTGACCCCACAAGCCCACTTCAAGCCCACGAGAATCCACACAAAGATCAGTGTAGTTTAGGCCTCAACATAAATGCAGATGACCTTTTGTGCCAAGAAAATCAAGAACCCAGCCTTCACCAGAATTCCAAAATCCCAAAACTCATCACATGCTTACATCGTGGAATTTGGAAAAAATCAGTTAAAGTAGGGAAGCGGCATAAGAGACAATCGCAGAAGGCAAGGGTTCTTGGTCCTTCCTTGTCAGACAGCCTCATAGAGAAGAGAAGCAGTATTAGTGCAAAAGAAGTCGATGAACTGGATATAAGGAGATTTGTGGAGTTTGGTTGACAACTGGGTCTTTGCTTTGTGGGCGATGAAGAAGTCTTTGATTCAAAATTTCGTGAAATTGAAGAGCGTGACAAGGGACTGCTTAAGTCTTAAATCTGGGCTTCTCCCTTACCAGAGGCATTATTCATAATGAAGGTTATTTCATTCAATATTCATGGGCTGGGGAACAGCACCAAAAGAAGAGAGTTGAGGAAGATGATTAACAATGAGCAGACCAATCTCCTGTTGATTCAAGAAACAAAAATCAAGTCTGTTGATAAGAATTTTTGTAGGACAATCTGGGGATCAGATGAATTTGATTGGCATGCAAAGAGCTCAGGGGTAGATCTGGTGGTCTTCTCTGTATTTGGGACACAATTTTATTTGAAAAAATTGAAGTATTTGAAGGCGATGGGTTTGTGGGTGTAGTGGGCTTATGGGGTGTTAATAAAGTTAGGTGTGGCTTCCTGAATGTATACGGACCCTGCAATGTTGTTGCTCGAGCCAAGCTATGGAATGATATCACTAGCCAAATCAAGAATCGAAATTGTATTTTCTACATTGGGGTTGATTTCAACTGTGTTAGAGGAGGGCATGAAAGAAAAGGTAAGATGACTTTTCAACCTAGATCTGATGATTTTAATCTGTTTATTGAAAAAAATTGCCTGGTGGATTTAGCATTATCAAATAGAAAGTTTACATGGTATAAGAGTGATGGCTTGGCTTATAGTAGACTTGATAGATTCCTTCTTTTAGAAAATTTCCATGAGATATGGGGTAATTGCGTTCAGCTTGCTATGAAAAGAAGTATCAGTGACCACTGCCCTATTAGCCTTAGCTCAAGCAACTTTGACTGGGGTCCTAAACCTTTTAGATCAATTGATAGCTGAACTTCTCACCTTGTTTTAGTCAAATGATTGAGAAGTCATGGAACTCTTTCCATGTTAAAGGATTCTGGGGCTTCAAATGCAACGAGAAGTTAAAGCTTTTCCGACAAAAACTTAAACAATGGAATAAGGAAGAGTTTGCCAACATCGATAGTCAATTAGAAGAGGCTATGAAGAAAGTTGATTTTGTTGATTTCAAATGTGAAAATTAGGACCTAACAAAGGATGATATGCTCAAAAGAAAGGAGGGCTTTGCAGATCTTTGGTAATGCTTGAGGAAAAAAGAAAGTTTATGGAGGCAAAAATCTAGAGCTACTTGGGTTAAAGAAGGGGACGCAAATACTAGTTTTTTTCACAAAACTATTAATGGAAGAAGGAAAAAGAATATGCTCCATGGAATTAGATTTCAAGGAACTTGGATTGATGATCCTGCACAAGTAAAGAAGATTGTAAGGGACCATTTCTCAAGCCAATTCTCTTCTCAGCCCCAATTACGACCATCATTACAGCACCTTCAGTTTAATAAATTATCTGACATGGACAGAGAGATGCTTGAGGTAGAATTTACTATTGAGGAAATCAGAGAAGCAGTCTCTTCTTGTGCTAGCGATAAAGCTCCAAGGCCTGATGGGTTCAATTTTCACTTCATCAAGTCAATTTGGGAAACAATTGAAGGTGATATTATTAATTTTGTCAATGAATTTCATCAAAATGGAAGGTTGGTTCGTGGCCTTAATGCATCCTACATCACTCTTGTACCCAAAAAGAAAAACCCCACAACCTTGCAAGAGTATAGGCCAATAACCATGGTCGGTTGTCTTTATAAAATTTTGGCCAAAATCTTATCAAACAGGTTGAAAAAAGTCATTGGCAAAATTATTAATTCAAGTCAATCTGCTTTTTTAGAAGGGAGACAACTTGTGGACGGCGACTTGACCCTTAATGAATTGGTACATTATTTGAAAATGAAAAAGAAGAAGGAACTCTTGTTCAAAGCTGATTTTGAAAAAGCTTTTGACTCAGTGAATTGGAACTACTTGGATTCTATGCACTTCAATATGGGCTTTGGGGATAAGTGGCGAAGCTGGATGAAAGAATGCCTATCTTCTGCTTCCTTCTCTATTCTTGTTAATGGTAGCCCTACACCAGAGTTCAAAATGCAGAGAGGATTGAGGCAAGGTGATCCTCTCTCACCTTATCTTTTCTTAATTGCTGCTGAAGGCTTGCATGCTCTACTTTACGAAGCTGAAAGGAAAAATCTTCTTGAAGGTGTGGATATTAATGAGAATTTATCTATTTCTCACCTCCAATTCGTTGATGACACAGTTCTTATTGGAGATGCTTCACTTAAGTCCATCAGAGCTTTCAAGTTTCTTCTCAGATGGTTTGAAATGGTCTCTGGCCTCAAAATCAACTTTGGCAAAAACATCTTATATGGAATTAATACCGAAGAGAGGTAGCTTAGCATGGCAGCTTCTACGTTAAATTCTAAGCATGGGAACCTGCCATTCATTTATTTGGGGCTCCCGATCGGTGGTGATCCACATAAAATCAGCTTCTGGAATCCAGTGGTGGAAAAATTTCAATATAAGTTGGCAGCTTGGAAAGGTAGACTTCTATCATTCAGAGGCCGCGTTACACTTCTCACGTCGGTACTTTCAGCTATCCCTCTCTTTTATTTTTCACTTTTTAAAGTCCCTAAAGGTGTCCTTGCTTATTTAGTTAAAATTCAAAAGAATTTTTTGTGGGGAGGTTCGGATAGTTGTAATAACATTGCATGGGTAAATTGGGGTAGGGTCTGCCTTGATAAATCAAAGGGAGGGCTTAGCATACCAAACCTTGCACTTAGGAACTCTACCCTTTTAGGGAAATGGTGGTGTAAATTCTATGATGATGATGAGAATGGGAAGTTATGGAAGAAAATCATTGTTAGTAAACACTACGAAGGTGCTCCTATTGATTCTATTACTAATACTATCCATTCAAGATTGTCTCCTCTTTGGAAAGATATCCTATCTATTGGCAGAGATGATGAAAGAGCTTCTGCCTGTTTCATTGATGGTTTTATTCAAAAGCTGGGTGATGGTTCAAAAACTAGATTTTGGAAGGATGTTTGGCTAGGCAACTCTCCTCTTATGGTTGATTTCCCTCGCCTTTTCAACCTCACTCGAAGCAAGGATCTATTAGTTGCCGACTTAAAGCAACCCAACATAGATGGATGGGCCTTTCAATGGCGTAGGCCTCCCTTTGGCAGGGAATTGGACGAGCTTGGGGTGCTGGAAAATATTCTGGAAAAGGTGTTCATCCCATATGATAGAGCTGATCAAGTTACATGGAAACACAACCTGGTGGGATACTCTACAAAACATGCTTATAGGTTCCTTGAGATCTCCTCATCATGTCTTGACAAGAGCTACTGGAAGATTATTTGGAGTCCATTCACACCATCCAAAGTCAGTATTTTTGCTTGGCGCCTCTTCTTAAATCGACTTCCTACCAAGGACAACCTAATAATTCGTGGTGTTGACCTGGCTTCCAACCCAAATTGTGTCCTTTGTGGGGATTGCATAGAAGACCTCAATCATATCTTTGCCACTTGCCATTGTTCTCAAAATGTTTGGAAGTGGGTTTGCTACTGGTGGGGGTTCCTTTTATTCCTACTGCAAATGCTCCCTTGCTAATTACCGAGCTTTGTTCACTTATAGATGCCAGGAAATCATGGAACTGTTGGGCTTTATCTATTCTCACCACAACATGGACAATTTGGTACTTCAAAAATGGTATTGTGTTCAATAAACTGAATTGGGAAGAAAACAACATTTATGGTCTAATTCAAGCTAAAACTTTTTGTTGGATTAAAGGAAAATCAAAATCTGCAGTGTTTAGTTTTGGTGATTGGTGTCAATTTCCAAATCTCTGTGCTGATGGCATTTAGACTACAAAATGTAACTATTGTCTTCCCATTTCTTTTGTAAGGAAGAGTACCCCTTGTACTCTTTTAATAAATTTTGATTCATCAAAAAAATAAGTTTCTCGCAGAATAAAAATTTAAAAATATAAATTTTAAGTTCAGATTTTAAAATTTAAAACTAGTGATTGAGGAGATATTAAAGAAAGGAGTGGTTATTTTATTATATAAATCATTATCAAATGCATTAATTATGAAGAGTAGTGATCTCTTTGGTTGCTAATCAATCTTTGCAAATAGATTATAGTAATAACTACTGTGTAATTCTTTTTATTAGAGGGTAATTTTTATGAATCATTTTTCTAAATCTTTACCTGAGTTTTGAAGTCGTAGCTGGCCTTAGAATTAACAAAAAATATATATATCATCTTTATCTTGACCTGAAGATAATCCAAGGAAGCAATGATATATTAGAGATTAATTGTATAGAATGTTAATTTAGGTTGCACCCAATGCTCCATTTCTTCTAAATTCGAACTTTCCTTTTCATAACCCCTTGATGCGTTCAATGTTCTCTCGTCATTATCCATCTATCCACCGCTCGCATTTAGTCTAAGCTCTTCACCTCCACATATTCGCATCAGTCCCATCGTTATTATTCTTTTGAGTTTTCTTTTTTAAAAAGAAAATTTAAAATTTAATTAATATCTTCATATAAAATATGTCTAATTTGATTGATTTTATCAGTTTATGGTTTTTTTTCTCTAAATATTTTATTAAAGTGTTTGAAAATATCAACTTATAAGTTAATTTTAAACTCATATAAGTTATTCTATTAATTAACAGTTGTATTATTAATTTTATTTCTTACACAATTAATTAAACTATTAAAATTATTTTTAATAACCAAATCAAATAAAACCACATATATGCTTCCTTCTAAAAAAAAAAAAATTTGTTTTGATCGGCACCATATCTACGCTTTGTTGATGATGACAGAAGTTACTTTCCCAACTTTCCAAGATGGATTGCGGATAAAAAGTTCGATTTCAAACTATGAGCATGCTTAAATTGCATTATAACTTGTAAGTGTTATTTTAGTAGAGTTTTAATTTATAAATTAAAATGTTGAATTATAAAGTTATAAAATAATCATACAAAATTTTAAAATTTGATAAAACAACCAAATTTAGAAACTTACCAGCAAAAACTCTTTCTAAAAATTACAAGCTTCCAACCCTTTGAAAGTTGAAAATTTAAGAAAAAAATAGAAATATTTTTTAAAAAACTGTGTTTAGTCCAACCTAAGCTTTTACTATAGTGAAATATATATTTTTTAAAAATTGGACAAAAAACACGCGGTATATTCATTTTATGACATATGGCCCATATCTATAATCGATTATATATAATGCTTATTCGTACGCACCTGAAATTCCTTGTGAAAAACGCTACTACGAGGTATTACATAGGTGCCCACCACAAAATGACCCGCATGCACATAATTAATTATCTTTTACCTGATATTAATTTTCCCAAGAAACAAACAGAACTAACGAGAGAAAGTTCAGAACCAGATTTTCAATGAGTGGCCTGCACTGTCTTAAATTGATGCGTGCACAATAAGAATTCAACTAGAACGCAATACTTTATCCTGAGGACACCAGTGCTTGATATGAGATTGGGATGGGACATGATGGAATCTGGTCCTAGAAGAGGATTTTATTTGAGTATGCCACAAAAGGAAGTGGGCTGTCACTGGGGCTGTTCTTAGGCTGTAAAATTATGAGAATAGCTTTTTCAGTTCCATATTAGTTCGCAAGGGAAAGAAGAATCACAACTTAAGTTGTGGTTTTGTTATATATGGTATTTATTTTTTAGCAGTCGGAACTCAAAAATAAATAAATAATTAAGTAAATCTTTTTATAATAAGGTATAGTGCTTTCTTAATTCATTTTTAGTAAATTTATTTTAATTGTTTTACTTTTAAAAAATGAATTTTAAATAAAAATTAAATAATTTATATGAATAATAATTAAAAGTTTTTTTATTAAATAA